GAGTAAAATAGTTACAGAAATAAAAAGAGTCTGAAAGGAAGAATTAAATGATGTCATGACAGAAGATAAAGTATTGATCAGAAATAAGATTAAACTTCTTTATGATTGCAACTGCTACAATAGGAGTTTCTCAATCCATCCATGGAGTCGCTTGCGAAAGAGCTCACTGATCAGCTATCCCAGAACAGCATGGATACAGCATTCTCTGACAGCTGGAAGAGTCCGAGACACGTAGTTAAAAAGCAAAGGCATTCAGAGGAGACGCCTGAAGCAAACAGAATGCCACAGAGTCCGGCTGCAGCAGCGCAAGCAGTTATGCTTCTTCGGTACACGTGAAAAGTGAACAACAAAACTCATGTGGGAGTGTGGACAGCCAGAACTTGGAGATCAAAGAGGAGACAGCAGGCAAAGAAAGAGGTGGTGAAAGCAAACGTGAAGATCTTGGCAGAATGGGAGCTGATGTAGTTTCATATGGGGAAGCTGATACCGAGGCAGCAACAGGCAGTCATATATATGAACTTGGGAGAAGAAAGCATCACAAGGCCAAGGAGGACATCATCCTTACAGCGGAGGCAACTGGACAGTTGTAACTGAAAAGAGACAAGGGTTATGTTTGCTCTGTCTCTTAAAGCTGAGAGAATTAGTCCACCAGAAGATGCTCAGCACCACCACAGAAGAGGTAGCTGCAGACAAAGTTCACCACTTCAGTCTGTCTCTAGGCAGCTGGGATCAATTCCACCAGTTCAAACTGTCTGGAACTTCAGCAGCAGAGAAGAGGTTTTAGAATAGCACTCCAGCCCTGCAGTTAATCGGGATCAGTAGGAAAACAGTTATATTAGCAAATACACAAATGCTACCATTATACATCCTTTCAACAATACGACATCTCCAGATACAAAGTAGAAAACATAGGTCCAGTTCAACTACCCGTATTTTCATTAAGTGCATATTTCCAGTTCCATAAGTCTATATAAATATTTTCATGAGGGAAGTCAGAAAGCAGCAGTAACAGGAGATTGACTATTCCAGAGGTAGATGTAATTTAGCAGTAAAAGACTATCCCTTTGCACAGCAGAACAAGAAGGCCTTTAAAAAAATTCTTCACATGGTTATCACTTTACTGCTCAAGCAAAGTGAAGTATGTGAATTGCTTCACACTAACCAGTGCAAACAAGCGTTTCTTTAGAAGGCTCACTGATTTGGCACGCTGTATTTGTCAAATGGTTTAAAGATAACAGCATGGGTTAAAAAAAAAAAATGCATCGTTTACATAAGCAAATTCCATCTCAAAGGACATCTAAGTACAACCCCTTCTCTCCCCCACCACAGAACGCCACCTCTAAAACAGAAGGCAGCAATTTTCCAAGAATGCTACAAAGGGTTTTATCTCAGTAAGAACTCTCAAGCATTGAGGGACCCAAAATACCGCTCATTTTCTTTTCAAGTTGCAGCCCAAAACTATTATTGTTACCACAAGGACTTTTAGCCTACTGACGCAAAGAAATTAGCGACTCATAGCTAAGACTGGCGATAACCTCACATTACCAGTCTAATATTTTCTCCATCTGTCTCCCAAACGTTAAAGGTAGCTCCCGTATCAAATGTACTGTTGCATGGAAGGAAAAATAAAACGCACCAGAGCCACCAAGTAATTAACTAATCACAAGCAATCCATGTGATTTATGCCTAAATCAGTCTCCAAACACCACGTCCAATATATCAAAAAGGTTTTCATCTTGACGCTTAAGCACTTTTCTTGAACGCGACTTCACATTAGTTATCCCAAGCGTCAAGGTGCCATTCTTAGCTAAGGATGGGGCAGAAAAAGGAATGACTTATTAATAGAACTGCCTGGGAAACAGGAAGTTTATTTGATTTTCCTAAAAATTACACAATGCAGAAGCCTTCTAGCCAGCTCTCTGAGGACTGTTCCCACATGTTTAACTGGAACTTCAGAGTTTTGAACTCTGCATCCTTGTTCTTAACGGACACTTTTTACGCTGCTGAAGGGGATGCTTTGCAATACTAACAATGCTCTACAAACTCTATTCATCTAACCGGCCGCTTCCCGCGTGGCGGAGGAGAAGGCAGAGGAAGCAAAGGGCTGAGGAACAATACTGACAGACAGGGGCTTCAGCAGAAAGACCGGATTGTTAAGCAGCATCCAGACAGCGCTTCCCTCCGACAGAGCAGTTCCAGTCCCTGCAGAACCGTTCCTCTCGGCCGCTCCCGCAGCGTGGCACGCAAAAAAACTATCTGTCGGGAAGTAAAAACGCATTTGGTTTTATGGTGCGTCCTCCTAGCCTGGAGAACGTCAGGCTGGATTGAATAACATGCCTGGGAGGAAGGGGGCATGCAAACCGAGACGGGCGTGCAGGCGTAAGCACAGAACATTCCGGTGGATGAGAGGCTTTTGCCAGAGGCAAAGGATTCGGCACCCATGGGTGGCAGCAGGTCAGCATTTCACAGGGCATGCACAGGTGATTTATATGGTATAATCAGATTTCATTACCAAAACGCACACAGCAGAAAATCACCATGGCACTAACGTTATTTTTAGAAACAGCACAACTAAGCCACTCACAAGATCCTCGCACTGCCAAAGAATTCTCATGCTTTTCAGCAGG